TGTCGTTCCTTAAGCTCTGGGGCTTACTCCCGGGCTTCTTGTTCGATTGGTACTAGAGGATAATGTGGACAAAGCGTGAAGCTAACCACTGACCTCGATCTAGTGTCAAAGTAACAGTGATTAGAATGTAATCTCAGCTCAGGTTAAAGAGAGCTTTGAGTTTTAATTTAACACGTGTTATTAGATAATTTTTTTACGCCGTGCTGGCTCGGCAACTTTTACGACACGCCAGAGAAGCGGATCAGTAGCTACTTCAATCCGCTTAAAGCTTTTCTACATTGCTGTACGTGCTTGACGACCGATTTCCAGGAGAGGTGTGCATTTTAGGCGCATTCGTAACTAAATGTTGCGAAAAGTCGCCTATGAAGTTTGTCATGCATGTCACCCCGTCAATAACCGCTTGACTGATTTTCATGAAATTTGGTATTTCAGAGTGTTATAAAAGTGTGACCAGACGTAGACATTTACGTCCAAGCCATGGAGCAATATCGGACGCTTTGCACGAAGACCTGAATTCTTTTCTCCTCGTAGATACGGTTGGGTAGGGAATCCCCGCTTGGGGGATAGTTGGACAAACTTAGTTACCATGGTTGATGTAGTTGTTATCGAAACGTTGATTACCAGTGGAATCATTTATGAAGACACAATGCCCATGCAAAGATTATTGACTGCAGGCAACATTTTTTCTCAAAGTGTTTAGACCGACTGTGAGGTTCGCCAGGCTTGTTATTGGAGCCATTTACTCGCGCGCACTGCGTAGACTAGAAGCTGGTCTCGTATTATTTCGTGGTTGAGGTCTGTTTACAGTCCACAGACCAGGAGAAAATCCCTGCTAGGAATTCAACATACGCGCATGCGCAAGATATCGCGGTGAGTGACGACGCATTCTAAAAGCATTCTTTCCACAACCACTGAACGAACAACAGACGACAGGCTTTCATGTGTTCTAATGGGTACAGCTTTAAGATTACCTCACGGTGGCACAGTGATTTAATCTACAATATTATCGCAACACCCGCAGGTGCACTCAGTACACGCTACTATTAACTGCTTGATGTTTTCAGTCTTTGTTGTAGCGTAAAACTCTGACGTATCACACTTCCCACCAATAGCAGCCCTCTAGTTCACTTGATAGTAAAGATTCCCCCTGCACCGCACCAGAAACGACATTCCCCCCGCAGGGCTTTTATCCTGGTCTGTGGACAGTAGTGTCCCCTAACTTTGCCCCCACTACGTGTTTCCTAGTCGCAGAGGTGTAAGTTTATTTACGTCAGACCTTGGTCACAATGAAAACGGATACGACTGAGCTGGTCTGACATCTCTCAGCCAGTTCCGACCGAACTCCTACAGAGCAGTTAGTGAGGAAACAAACGGTTTGTTTCACATCCAACCAGTCAGTTAGTTGGTTAGTTTGCTATTGAGTTAACAGACTTGTGCCAATTCTGGTTGACAGACCGCAGCGGTTTAGTGGTTAACGTGCTGTCGTGTTATTCTGTATGTTCCTCGTGTTTCGAAACTATCAGAAAATGACAACCATTCACCTGAAGACAGGAGTACAGATAAATTGCGAAACTTTGTGACCTATATAATACTCATGATTATGATGGATCAACCGTTGTTACAAACCTTAAGGGAATCATTGTTTTGTCGATGTACTTGCTGCTTCTGTTAATTAGAGTTAATTAATGTGTTCCGGTTGCAGCCGACACACTACGCATTACTTCCACACAATCGATTGTGTTGGGATCACAATCGAGTGTTAGGTAATGTCTCGTTGAGTTTAATCAAGGTAATGAATAAATGGGTTGGGCGCTAATAATGGTTGGCTCAAGGTCAGTTTTTATTACTCAGTTTTGATGAAACTGTATCTCTTGGGTAGTGTTCACGGCCTTCGTGCTGCTACCTGGTAATAGTCATGCGATTCTTTAAAGGAAAACATTGCTTGAATTATTTGCCGCGATAACATTGTGTTACGCCTTGATAAGGTTCGCAAGATCGACTTCAGTTAGCTGCTGTTTCAAGCCTTGATAAGGTTCACGAGATCGACTTCAGTTAGCTGCTGTTTCAAACATGGTATATGTATTTTGCACGTATAATTTCTCCATGATGTAATTTTGTAATGCAGGCATACCTCGTTTTATAGCGCTTCGCAGATATTGCGTTTTTGTTACAAATTGAAGGTTTGTGGCAACCCTGCGTCGAGCAAGTCTATCGGCGCCATTTTTCTAACAGCATGTGCTCACTTCGTGTCTCTGTGTCACATTTTGGTAATTCTCGCATTGTTTTTTAGACATAATGCTATTGCACACTTAATAGACTACAGTGTAGTGTAAACATAACTTTTATATACACTGGAAAACCAAAAAATTCGTGTGACTCGCTTTATTGCTGTGGTCTGCAACCGAACCCGCAATATCTCCGAGGTATGCCTGTACTTCCTAATTAAATGAACTACAACGGAGTTGCGTGGCACTGCAAGTTCTTTCTTGGAATTCGGAAGCAGCAGGTGTTTTCAGGAGCTTTGAGAATGTCCCCGCCCAACATCACAAGATGGAAACATGACTCATTCCTAGTAAATCCATTTCTCGTGTATGAACAACGAAGGAACAAGCTTGTAACCGAGAAATATGTTACTAGATTTCCTATTGGCTCAAGGCCAGGGTTCGGCCAGAAACGCCGACCGTTCATTTAAGAACTTGGACAATCCTGCTACCATTCTCTCGCTTCCTCCGACCACCCGCGCCAGATCTGCGATTCCCTCGATCGGAGACTGTGGAGGGAATGCGGTGAGACAGAGAAAGTGGGAGCAGTGGAAGAATGTAGTTGGGAAATGAAGACGCTATTTCCTCAGTGGACTTTAGTTATGCTATAAAAGTTTTCGCTTAGTTTTCGTCCGTCAAAAAGATATTCGAAGCTGTTAGCATGTTGGTACACAGTGATCAATGAAAGTTATTTTTAATCATAGACCAACAAGCATCGTTTTCGAACACAAGGCTCTAATTTATGATTTAAGCCCTTATGCTTTGTTGATTTTACGATGTACCTTGAAAGATCTTTGCATTCGCTCGTTGCTGTTGATGGTGTCCTGTCTTAATATGGGCACCCCAGGGGGGAATGTTTTTGGCATATCACGTGAACGAGCTCTGCATTGGCAGCGTGTTAAGAGAAAAATTTGTTTACACTTTCATGCCCCAGTCACTGATGGGGTTGCAGGATTTTGGGACATGTTTTTATTAACATCAGTAAGAAGTAAATATTTTAATTGTCGATCGCATATACAGTCAGACTCGGTTACGTAATCTATTAAACGCAGTAGCCAAGGTGTCGCTGTAACAAAGTTCGTCTGTATTATATAAAATTATCTTAAATAACTTGGTATCTAACAGTGTGAAGATGGGACGCAGAACAAATTTAAATTCACGATTCGAGCTAGTTAAATGGTTACTGGTAAGAGGTAAGAAAAAAAACAGATTCAAACCCGGGACGATCCCATAACATTAGCACGTTGTCCCCCCTGGGTTGCCACGCCCCATGCGTCAATATACGCGGTACAAAATGAAAACTTTTAAAATATATCAGAAACTAAGGTCCGGTGAACAAAATAGTGAGACAGTTGTCAATTTTACGTCTGCATTCCATTGATCCCATTTCAGTTGAATTCCATGACCTAAGTTTTAACAGCAGTACTAATATGGCGAACTTGTCTTTGTGGCCCTGAACGTTTGTCGTAATAGAGCTTTAAGAAATTTAAACTTCTAGTGAGGATAATTGAAATTGACAAGATGGAGAATCTCAAATCTAAAAGTTTCTGACGATGGTGCGTTATTTGAATAAAAAGTTTTTTTGATGTTTTCCATCGTCTAATAAAATTGAACGACTTTTCGGAGATGGGAGTCTGTCTCCGTCTTCAGGTAACCTACTCTGTTGGGCCCAATCGATAGAGATAATCCCTATCTATATACATTTGTAAAGTTCCTCCCTGTGGGAAAAAATTTACACCAGGTGATAGGGTCATGATCTGTTTCAATACGAATATCAAGAAAGAGCCCGAAAAGTCATTCTGGCAATTGAAATTCGACAACGGAGCTCCGTGAATACGGAGTAGAACTGCGAACCATCGCGTGCGTTAAACCGCCTGCCTGCCACTCCTCTTCCTGCGTGGCCGTCTCCTTATCCCTCGTTTGCCCTTTTGTGGCCTGGCTTATCACATTCCTGTTCGTCTCTGTCCATTCCCCCGCCTGTATTTCACTAGCGTCCATTTTTCAACAGCGGGTTATCCATCTGTCCGTTGGCATTATCTGGCAAGACGTCGTCGGCCATTACCACCCTTTTTGTTTCCCTCGAGTTGATAATCAGCCAATAGTGAACGAGCATGTGGGCAAAGTGATTACAAAAACTGGCCGGCACAAGCAAGACGCGTTCTCGTGTTTTTTATGTGAGCGTTGAACCAATCAGCCGAGATCGGATGTCGTGTGGGGCTGGTACAGTACCAGGGCAATTGTGTTATAGCATGGGCTAAGTGGGACCCTGTGTGCAGAGACCGAAGAAAGACGACGTGACATCCAGAATATAAGCCCGTCTTCGTATCACTCGTTTGTAGATTGATTCTCTAGCAAGTCGATTGTTTATTAGGGCGAGTATCGATTATAAACAACCAAATATTGGTTGGCTGGTGAGTGGGTGTGTTAATTGTTTGGTTCGTTGGGTGGGTTGTTGGTTTGTTGATCTGTTTGTTACTTTATTTTTTTTGCGGTGTCAATGCTGACGGCCCTTTTAAGTTGGAGTAAGTTATTGCCTGTTGTTTTGCATGGGTGCGAAACATGGTCTCTCACTCAGAGGGAGGAACACAGATTGGTGTTTGAGAATAAGGTGTGACGGCTTGTGGTTACGCCTTCTTCAACTTTATTGTCATTGACATTTGCTTTCGTTTACGAATTATCTGCAGGAGGGACCACAGCTGACCAACATAAACTTATTTTAGCCTCTTACCGGGATGTTACCTACAAGCGAAACACTTTTACCACAGTTATTGCCTATTTATGTGCTTGTCAGACGCGTACATTAAAGTATAAAACCGTTTTAGCGATATTTTGTGACTAATGTCTTCAAGAGTGTGTATTTATATAAAAACTGGGAAGGTAATCGGTTAAATTTTGGAGGTTATAGGTCGTTTCATGATAATGCTGACGGTGTGTGGTTCGGTAACTGTAGGAGACGAGGCATTTGCTGTTCAACGGCGTACTCAGACGTAAAATAGGGTTTTCTCTCACGGATATGTAATTACATGTGACGAGGATAATGTAAAATGTGCATTTACCGTACTGTTTAAGAATGGAGACTTTTTGTCGTGTCATTGACGTTTTTCCTGATTTTTGTGAGACATTGTAGTTCAAATTTGTATGCTGCATAGTTTCTTTGCAAAACAAGACGGGATTCAATTTTATGATGCTGTGTTGCATGTGTTCAGTCTATCGTGCCCAAAGGTTATATCAGAAGAGTGGCTCTGAAAGAATATTACGTAATATATTTTGTCATTTCACAAGGTTCTGTTATTTTCATATGATTTGAGAAAATGTATTTGCAGGGCTTTCACAGCCTGGCAAAAATACATTAATTATAGTTTATTTAATTAAACTTACAGTTATTTTGCATGTAATTTTATCAGAACGTATAAAATATCCAGAAATATTTTTTTTAAAAAAATTGTTGTTCCCTATTTGTCACTTTCTCCGGTTTCATATTATTGTACAGTGCCTCGATTGCTGTTAAATCGATACGTTTCATCAAGACGACATAAATCGCTGCTGTCCAAACCGCTCGTGTGCAAACGAGTTTCAAGGTATACTTTTAAACTTGTGCCCATATCTGTGTAAACGATGTAATAGGGTGTCACCTCTTCCTGCCTCATCCTCGCCAGTTAGTTCACCGTACATAACAACCCTTTCTTCTCATTTTACGCCTCATAACCGCTGCAGCTGAAACAGTCGAGTAGCGTTAATAAAGAAACCAGAGTTTAAACATAGTCATGGTTGGAGTCACACTAGACTTCCCTAGGCAGCGAGCGATTTGTCGCCGGTAAAGCTTGTATCCCGGTTCAGATAACACCCTCGTTTGCTCACTGTCCATCATGCCTCCCCCCCCTCCAACTCCCTTCCGCATCGGCCGCAGGGTCATAAATTCGCCCGCATGTCAAAGTGATCCCCCTAGATCCTTTCTCTGGGGTGCAGTGATTGGCGTCCATAAGCCCCGTCATCAGCCTACGTCACAATGACCATTTAGCACTGACAGTGGACCGACATGTTCGGCGATGATAAATGCAGGTACATCGCGGTACAGTGCAGACGCAGTAAAAATGGACATTGAACCGGTTTTTGCCACCTCCATAGGTTCACAATCTGTTTCCATAAGAATTATGATTTTTTTTCGTTAAACATGGACAGTGAGCTTAGACTTAGCCCCTCCTTAACTGGAGGAGAGTCTTGTCTGTCAGAAAAGGTGTGCTTATCTACAAGCAGCCACGTCCGGAAGCTACAGGCGTTGCAGTCCGAGTGACTTCGCATTGTGGCTAACGCACGTTGGTAAGTTAGTAATAGGCAAATTCACGAGATTTGGAGACTCCATTCTTCATTGACCATATCCGAGTCTTGCCTGATAGTTTGCTGATTCGGCAACTTGGAAGGCACTTGTGCCTACCAAGGGCAGCCATCTAATGGTAACGAGGGTGATCCGAAGCTCAGCAGGTGTCCCGAAAAGGAAGGTCAGATCGGCGCAACGAGTGGTACCATACTACTCGGCTATCATAACTGAATTTTTCCGTGTTTTTATCAGTTGTAAAGGATGTGCCCAGATATCCATCCAACTAAAGTTCGTTTTGTAAAGGACGAGCTAACTGATGGTGTCACGTCCCACCAGTAGCCTCTTGTCACAACATGTCAAGGCGACGAAAATTCTCGTAGCGCAAGCACATCCCCCCTTGTAGGTCCCACTTACCATTCTCTCTGACGAGAACTCTTGAGTAATTAGTAATCCATTTTGATTTCAGGCTTTCATGGAGCAACTGAAGAAAAATACGGGTTCCACTGAAGATCCGTCATCCATCATCGGACAGTTTGGAGTAGGTTTCTACTCAAGTTTTATGGTTGCAGACAAGGTTGAGGTGTTCACACAATCCAGCCTCAAGGACAGTCCGGGCTACAGGTGGAGCTCTGATGGGTAAGGCTCGGCTTTGAATCATATCTTGTGGCAGAAAGTAACCTTATTTATGTCTTCCTGCCTTGTCAGTGTAGGTTCTGTGACAGAATTAGATAAAAGGAGTATAAGGAGAAGAAGAGATTAATTAAAATGTGTTGCTTTCAGGTTCACGTGGTTTTTTTTTGTCTCTTTTTCGTTTTGTAAAGAGTCCTAATGATTATCAATTATGGATACTGGAGATTGTTTCGTATAAGAGAGTCATTTGTCTTGTTGAGGTGATTTAACTTGTGGTTTTAAATGATAATTATTTCATATTTGTTTTGTGGTTTATTTAATTACTGTAAATTGTCAAGTATAAAGTTAATTTCC